TATAGAAATGAGTAAGAGAATTAAGTTAAAATTTATAGTAATGAAGAAAAACTTATTTAAAAATTTTTAGTGTGAAAATGATAAATATTGTGTAACTATCTTTAGTAAGAGAAATTGTGTTTTTGAAAAATGTTGAAGAATTAGACTTTTATTTTCGAAACATAAATTTCTTTTATTGAAAATAATTTTTAAAACTATTATTATATTTTTAAGTAAAGAAAATATATCAACTTTTTTCTTTAGGAAAGTAAAAGTGAAATTTAAAAATCATTAAAGGACTATCCAGATATAGTAATCATTGTCTGAAAAAAAAAAGGAGAAAAGAAAAGAGAAAAAAAGGGAGAGAGAAAAGAAAAATTGGAAAAGGGAGGAGAAACTTCAAGCTTAGTGCTTCATCAAAAATTAGTTCCACATCTGATCTTTTTAAAGTATAAGACTTGAGAAACTCTTAAGCTTAAAGATATAATATAGTAAATAAAATTATACTTGATAAAAATTTTTAAATTTTTAAGTGTTTTTAAGTGGAGATGATAAAATGCCTAAACTCTATATTTGGAAAATCTACAATATTTCTGCATTAGATATGAACTCATATTTTCATACTTCTTTACATTAAAAAATTTTTAAACTCTAAGCTGATTCCATTCACTAATATTTTTTCTAAATTGGACTGCTATATTTTTACATCAAAATTTTAGAAACTTCTAAAGAAACTCATATACTACTTATTTAGTTTTTAAAAAATTGGAGTGTCACTTGAGGACAAATAACATTTTAAGTTTGAGGAATTTTGATACACCTAAAATATATAGTCTTTATGTATACATTTATATATATATTTTTGAGATATTGTGCTTTAATGAAAGATATTTGTGTGTTTTGATTTCAGATACAATCAAATAAAAGAAAAATGATAAAATGAGTAAAAAAAGATCAAATTTGGAGAAAAAATGAAGAATGTTCAAAAATGAACTGAGGCGCCTAGGCGCCCAGGACTGGCGCTTACGCTCCAGTTATACAGAGAGAGCCGCGCCTAAGTGTCAGGTACCCCGCGCTTAAGCGCCAGAAGAAGTTATTTGATGATTCATTGAATTTGGATGAATTGTTGAAGAGGTGTTTGAAGCAACCCTTGGTAAAAACGTGAGAAATAGTTCATGGACACGAAAATTCATTCAATTGGCTTTTGAGAGGAGACAACTTCTAGAAGATTCATTGAATGGAGACACAGTTTAAAGAAACACCAAAACACCTCTTGGATTTTTATTAAAGAAGACTTAGATCATCAAAGGAAGAGACCAATCACAATTGCCAATCATCATCCATCCATCCAAAGTAATCGCCGCCGCCGCCGACCACATTTTCTTTTTATTTTAAGTTTTAGTTTGTATTGTGAGTGGAGGAAGAGAATTCAAAGGAACTTCAAGACATTTGATAGAGAAGATTTGATATAAGTGTTTATCTTTGTGACTACATTTGGTTTTAATTTAGATTTCTTGTTTATGTGTATAATTTCTACTTTTAAACTCAATTGTACTTAGACATTGTACATGACATTGTAATATCTTTGTGAAAAGGAAGTTATGTGAAGTATTAGATATTAATGTTGGAAGAAGCTGTGGTGATTTTAAACATTGTACTTCATTTACTTCTTAATTTGACCAATTAAGATGTTAATACCTGTTGTGAGAATATGTCAGATCTGAGATGATATTGTCTCAGTCAACAAATTGTAAGAATCACATTTGATTATGGATGAGAATATAGAATATAGTTCATGGGGTTGAATGCAAATAAATATTCAAATAAGCTTTGAATGGTGCAAGATTAGAGGACTTTAGAATGACAAACTAATGCCCCCAATTTGATTTATAGTTTTTGGTTATGATACGATATGGTAGCCCCCAGGTGGAGGGAGAAGAGGGAATTCTAGAGTGAGAGCTAGTATTTTTCCTACTTAACTCTTCTTCAAGACCATTCAAACTATAGATTAACCAATATTCTTTATAGCATCTCTACTAAGGGTAAAAAATATTATTGCTCCTGTTTGACACAACAAAATTAGAATACTTCCATAGTATAATTCTTATACTTGTTACTGATTCATGATAAAAAAAAAATATTTTATTTATATTTTTTTCGTCTTGCAAATATTTAGTTAAGTTAATTAATTGCTTACTTTATTTTCAATTACAAAAAATTAAAAAAAGAATCAAATTTTCATTCCTATTATAACATCTAGAGTTTAAGTAAGAATACTTTGCTAAGTAAAATTTTGTTATCTAATTTTTCCTATTTTGTAAAGTTGCATTTTGTTAGTTATGTCTGTGAGTTTGATATTTGGGGCTTAATAAAAAAATCTTGTATTACTTGATAACGATATGTATACTTGCATAATATCCCATTATAAATATTATAATTGTATTCTTATTTGCTTCATAGTGAAAAATTTATCTAACTTTTGCTTGGGATGAAGTTTTTGGTTTTTTTGCAAAGTAAGAATCATTACTAAGGAAATTAAACAAATAATCGCATACCTCGCATTTGACATCTATAAAGAGAATCGGGATCAATTAACATCAAAATACACCAAAACTATTACGTTTCTTTGTTTCAAGCGTTATACAGTTTAATTTCATCTCCATCTTGGTTATGATACCCTGAACTTGATCAACCTGAGTATCAAATTGATAAAGGGCAACACATGCTTCACGATCATGATCACCATGGGACGAATTTCTCTGCTTTCATGTTGGGGATCTTTGACAAAAGTAATTGACCCACTGGCATAAAACTTAGCTTCAACACAGGTTTACACTGATCTGACCTGTCGTGTCCATCCATCATCCTCTGCCTTATGTGATTCACTGATTCCACATGGTTTTCAATGGCATGGTTTTTTGATGGAGCTGGCACTTTCAAGGCCCATGGTGGCTGTTGAAATGCATTGTCAAAAACCTTAAAGTTGGTGGCTAAAACTGCAGCATTTCAATTATTCAGCCTTATGCATGGCCAACATGGGAGTTTTCTGGTGTCCATGTTGGTTTGTAAGAACAATGATTATAAATTGGGGATTGGCTGATGGGTAGGAGAAAATATTGCGTTCGTCGTCTGCGCACATGCGGACGACCAAATATATTTTTGAGAATTGTCAGTGGCTTAGACGATCGCTAGCTCTTTTTTAGTTGTTATGAATTTTTTTTTGCTACAAATAAACTGCTTCTTATTCATATTAACTGCTAGATAACGACTGCTAAGGCTTTTTTTTAAAAGTAGTGTAGGCTGTTCATTAGCTCATGTAGCCGTATTTTCAACATTGTGATTACCATGTTGATGAGTGCCTTAGTTTATAAACTCATGAAAGCTGAAGCTCAAGTTGAAATACAAAAAAATTATAAGTGACATTAATAATTTGTTTTAATGTATATTTTCTTCCTTAACTTGCAATTAACATTTTTTTCACTTTAATTTATTTTTTATGAAGCTTCAAAATATCGCTAAACCTGATTAACTTTAATTATTTGAATTTTCAAAATTAGTTCTGCACGCAATTTTGCTTGCATTTAGTTACACATGTTTTTTTTGGTACTAAAACATAATTCAAATATATTTTTTTAATTTCTTTTGATGTTATAATTTGTATCGCAGATTGAGTATTTATTAGTTTCACATATACATTCCAAATGATTTTAATTTGGCCAACCACACCTTTAAGGATAGTTGTCAAATTATATGTGTGGGACTAGAGGTTTCATGATTTGAAATTTGTAAGCTACATGTAATTTGAATGCATAATTTTTTTTTTCTTAATGCATATGAGTGTTTGCAGTGTTAAATAAGCAAGAGACGATACACCAATGCTCATATATAGTTTTAAATAAGCAAAGATTCTCACATTATGGACGAATATAAACAAAAAAGATAGTTCATGTACATTGTATGCTATTTGCTGATGCTTTCATTATTGTTGATAAGACAAGAGCAAGTGAGTTCAGGGAAAACTTCAATTATGGAGGTCAAATTTAGCGTCTAAAGGCTAGTGTTTGAGTACATTTAAAATTGAATACATGGAATTTAATTTTAGTAGTACTATCTATAGTGGCGGAGCTGTAACAATAGGCGATTAAGTCATTAAAAGGAGTGAACATTTTAGATATTTCGAGTATTTTTTTGCTCAAAGCATTGGTGATATAGATGGGGAGGCTATTAGTAGAATTCAAATTGAATGGTTGAAGTGAAGGAATGTATCAAGGCATATTTTGTGTGATAAAAAAGTAACACTTAAAAGGAAAATTATATGAAGGAAAATTTTATAAATTGGTGGTGAAACCTGCAATGCTTTATGACTCTGAATGTTGGCATGCAAAGAGAAGCATAAAATTAAGTGTTTTTGCGATGAGAATGCTGAGGTGGATGATTGGCTTTACACTTGCATACAAAATACGAAACAAATATATATTTGTGAAAGGGTTGATGTTGCTTCTGTGGCTAACAAGATTAGAGAAAGTCGTCTTAGATGGTTTGGTCACACTAAACATGGACCATTTGATGGCCCAATTAGGAGATTAGGTGTTTTAGTTCTGACTTATGTTAAGAAAAATAAAGGTAGATCTAAAAAGTCTTCATTAAGTTGTGTAAAAAATGATCTTAATTTGTTAGAATTAAATGAAAATATAACACTCAATACAACACAATGGAGAAAAAGGTAGCGGGATAAACGCCCATTGTTATAAATGCTACTTTCACTCCATTACCAGTGAACACTCTCAATTCTCAGATTTATATCCAAGATGGTCCTTGCAATGCAATTTTATTATTAAATTTATTTTTTCGATATATTCAATTATTTGGTCGCCCGCCCACTATAATAAAGTTATTTCTGCCTTCTACCATTTATATCAACCTGTAGTTTGAAAGTAGGAGTTTTTAGCAATTTATTGCCATAAAGTCAGATCACAACTGAACTTTGAAGTTCCTAATCCTTCTCATTCCACTATTATCAGGTTTCTAGCTGGAGAGATTTCATGAAAGGAGGAAAAAAGGTGAAGAAAGGAGAGCTCCGACCTCCAAAGCTCAAAACAGAAGATCCAAACAAATCATACGTGCAGAGGCCCTTAAAACGAGGTTGAAACAATCGTCTTTACTTGCCTGTAAAACCTCAAATATTTCAGGTCAGAATGATCTTGTTTAACTTTATTTAATTGTATCCACATCATTTGCATTAGTCTGAAGTCCTACTTTTATGAATATAATTATTTAGATCAGTTTTATATGAAATTCTTCTATTCACTTATACAACACATTCCAATTCTGTAATGCCTGCGTTATATATCTTATGCTTATGATAGATCATGTGAATTAAATTCTAAGCTTTATTTATTTAATTGCTCCACTTGTTCCTGGTGGTTGTGATTCCCCAAAGCAAACTTTTCAATTTGGTTCCTTAGGGAAGCTGAAACTTACCACTGCTTTACTGATAAAGTAACAGTTCTGGTCAGCTGTGTCTCTTTGGCTTCTTTTAGTCTGTGTTGGAGGCCTGGCCAAGCTTTCTGGCCACTCATTGAATTGATTTATATATGCAAAAGGTAGTGATACCTTTCCTCTTATCAAAGTCAGGTTCCCATTATAATCTATAGCTGTTAAGTCAACTCCACCAGCATTATATATATGTGGGAATTTTACATACATTTCTTATAAATCTGATGTATTTACATATCTGACTTCTAAAATTTAATATTTATTTATGCAACACCATAGCTGTTAAGTCTTTAACATCGCATAAATAATACCAGTTGTACAAATTTTTTGAAAGTGGGGTACATTTTTCATGCATCTATTTTGATGTTGTTCTGACAGTAAAATATTATATATGTAAATAGAAAATTTTAAGCGGTAGATATAAAAATATATAACAGTTGTAAGGCATGTTTGTAAATTCATATATACCTAAGGATAGGAAGGTGGTTTCTCTTTATGGAACTTTAGAATCTTAGAGTAAGAACCGTGCTCTGGAAAGTTTAAGAGAATTGATGCTCCAGTTTCAGGTTGCTTCTCAGGATGTTCCAGGCTGAGCTAAAAGTTATAGTTTAATGCTCTTTCTCAGCTTTCTGGTTGTGATTTAAAATAATATTTCTCTTAAATGATGAAGGGAAATTGGATTTAATTTTAGCTTGGTTCTTGTTATCTATAGGATGAAATTATGGAAAGGGAAATGATTTTAGCCACTCAGCCATTTTAGGAAAATAGGAGTATTTTGTTTTTCACCCATTTTTTGTCATTCATGGTTGAAATGTAAAGATTCATATGTACATGAATCTGATAGTTATAATAGGAAAATTTACATACATACCACACAATTCTTATGTATTTACATATCTAACACCTAAAGTCTCATCTTCACATTATATCACCTTGGTGCCATAACGCTATGCATGAAAATGTATATTGCGGTAGTTTTGATGTGATGCTAAAAATTTGAGTGTTGATATATAGACAAATACATAAGAATTGTGTGGTATTTTATGAAAATAGCACTTAATAATATTTCCTATAAAAATAAATCTATTAAATTTTATTATAATTTTGCTTCGGTTAAAATTAGGTCACTATACTTGTTCAAATTAAAACTCAAGTTAATTCAATTTTAGATGAAATCTATTTGAAATTGGATGTTCGTAAGGCACTCTCATGGTAAATCAGATTAGGAAATATGCTTTGCTCGTTGTTAAAGAAGCCCAACTTTTTCATCCGAAAGTGTGAGGTGGAGAAAAAATATTTAGAAAATTTAAATTTAGCAAAAGGTTGTTCAATAAGTGTGTTTATAGTTTTACTTGTAAAAATAATTAGTTCCTTGCGAATCCAATTTTTTATAAGAAAACAGTAAGTTTTATTGTTGATTATAATTTTCCTGATCCACTATTATGAGTTTGAGTTTTTATTTTACTATAAATAAGTAATATGTGATGTGTGTGTGTGTGTGTGTGTCGTGTATATATATATTTAATTTATATCTATCAAACTTAATTAAACAATAAATTACTTAAAATAAAATCCTGATTTACATTTCCTTGAATTACTTCAAACAACATAATATAACAATAAATTTGGCTTTTATACGAAAACAAATCAATAATATCATAAAAATCACAAAAAATAAGAAAGATTTAGAACACAAAACCTAAACAACAAAACAAACAGAATCCAATGCAATCCATCTTCATTCTTTATGGATCGGACAAATCTTATTGATTTATGGGAGTGGATTTGAAATGATTTGAGTTGGCTGTAGAGGACGAGTACTGAAACTCCCATAAAATCAGTTAAATGGCAGACAGACGCAGCAGATGCAACTTGCCATGTGCCCACCCTGCGATTATTGCCGATATCCATAGTACAACTAAAGCCCTTTTTCTTTCTTTGCATTTCTAGTATCCACCATTGCACTTTCAAAAGAGCACCATTATTTTCTCTATTTTTGTTTTTAGCTTCAATGAAATATATGCAGTATCTTATGATAAGATGGTCAAACATGCGAGATCAGACAGTATAATGGAGCTCTAGCTTAATGGATTATTTTTTTTTTTCTTTACAATAAGTCTTCTCTATTTGATTTAAAAAAAGCTGAATTTTGACTATGACATCTCTTTTCTAGGTTGAATATTCTAAGTACTTGCATATCTTAAGAGGCTCGACAATATGTGCAATCTCAGTATGCATAAGCATCTTCTTAGCATAATATTGCACTTAGATGGGGAATCATTCAGTTCAATTGTCCATTTATCACTAAATTTTATATCATAAAGCAACTCTTATCTTCATAAATGCAGCACTGGTATGATCTAGGGTTGGCACATATAGTGCAAGGCAAGATTGATTCTCCCCAGGAAAAAAATCCATTAAAAGTTATGAATTCTATATGTTTGGGATCCTTCTTTGACATTTTGGAAGCTAGCTCTTTATTATTTTTTTTTTCAAATTATGATGCTTTATGAAAATTATTAAATCAAACACATTCCCAGTCAATGTTACACTTTTCGGCATATGGGTTCCGCCATTCCTAATTGATATTATGCACCCTTATAAACATTAATGTCTTTTAACATTTTCAAAAAAATTGTCATGCAACAATCACACTGCATGTCATATCTTGCGCATAACGAATTTAATTAGCGAATGTACGAGTCAAATGATTATGCATAATTGTCTTCGTTGTGCAAGTATTATCAATATTGTGAAATACACTATTATTTATAGACATGACCATCATATGGTTAACATATTTCTTTTATTAGGAAGCATATGATATGAAGTCAATTAATTCAAAATATATGCTTTTTTTTTCTGTCTTCATCAGTCATCAAAAGAACATCCTTAGATTACAACTAAACCAGCATATGACAACTTGTCTTGCATGTTGCATGCCTTTTCATTTCACACTATAAGCATCTTCCATGAGATTTTTTTATGTTAGGGGTACACATTTTCTTAAAAATATATCTCTAATTAATAATTCATTATATGCATTTTCATCTTCCATGCTCCCAAGCATAATAATCATGATTTTATTAAGATAGTGCAAGAAAATGCTTGTTAGAGAAAAATAAAGAGTATAAAAATGATAGAACTTGATATTTATCATCGAAATTTAAATCAACACTTCTTAAACCTCAAATAATGCAGTTGGACTAATCAAAACATTAATTTCATAAGCATAATTACTTGCATATGAATTATAATCTTTATTTTTATTAATATTTATTGAAGAGAACTTTCGCAATGTACAACGACTTAAATTTGAAATCTTATCTCTTACAATTATTTCTTAGGTTTTATTTGCCAAATATAATAGAATTATTGAAAACATCTTTTATCCCTTTATATTATTTCTTTATTTCAAGGCATCTTAACACTTATTTTTTTTTATACAACCGTTTTTTATTTTATTTTTTAGGGGCATTCACATACATATTAGACAATTCCTATTAATTTACTTATCCTAGACTTAAATTTTGATATTTATATACATATCACTCATATCCTTGACATCAATATTACTGTTCTGAAATACATGTTTTCATGTATAAGATTATAACATCAAGAATATTAAAATAAAAATTTAGGTTTTAGATATGTAAATACAATATAATTGTGTGGTATGCATACAATTTTTCCTATATTTTCATTTTTATTTTTTGATGTTTAAATTGGCCTATGAGGCAAGTTGATTGTCAAAGGCAGATCCATGTTGGGTTCAAGGGGACAATTACCAATCTTAAATTTATATTTTTTTAATTTATATTGAAAGACAACTTGATCTTTTGTCTCTCTTAAAGTATAAATTTTGACTCTACTGAAATATCACTTTGTCTTTCGTTGTCCTAGCCCATCTCACGTTGGGTCTAAGGGCAGTTTGTTTCCCTTAAAAAAAAAGAGGCTAGTTCTTCCCTAAACCTTCTGTGTGATTCAATCAATAGATATTTATCAGAATCCACTACTGATTCATAGTAAATTATTTTTGTCTCTAGTATTTTTGTTTATTTATGTTTTTTTTTTGCATGTGCATGCATGCGCTTATAGATCTTTTGCAGGTGAAGATTGCACTTGTAGATCTTCTCAGTTGATTTGATTTTACTACTTTGTCATTTTGATATCCTTTCAAGTTTTGTCTTGGAGTTTTGTCAATTATCATTACTACTACTTTTCTGCTAAAAAAAGATTTCCTCTTAAATGCATTATATATTTGTTTTTATTATTATGGCATATGAAAATGATGCCTTTTTTCAGAAATTCAAGAGACATCTACATACTTGCCAGCCATTTCTTAAAAATTTTGCACCTAAATTTTGCTTTTTACATTTATACCACTCAAATCTTTTGTCGTACAAAAAATATTACTATTTTAATTTTTAGAAAGTGAAATACATCTCTTCATGTATAAATAAGGTGATATATATGTCAAAATTAAAATTAAGGTGTTAGATATGTAAATACATAGGAATTGAGTGGTATTTATGTAATTCTTCCTAAATTTAATATAGCATTACTACTTCATTTCAAATGGTGTTCTCCTTTCCCGATATGTAGACAAAAATCGATATAAGTTTTTTATAATATTTTTTTATAATTTTTTTAAATATCAAAAACAGGAAAAACATAAATTTAAAATAACGTTAAAAATGAAAAATATTCTAGTGCGGTTAAACTAATAGTCTTTTAAAATCTTTTTTGAGTAGCTCCCTGGGGCAGCTTGTGCGTTTCAAGATAAGCTGTTTATTTTGAAATGCGGCCCGCAGGCGGGTCGCGAGGTTTGGCCCGTGGCCTGCATTTAGTGTAAA